CATTGGTGAGCAAGTGAAGTAATGCTAAATTTCTCCAAATCTTTTCTGATGAAGAAACAATCTTGGATGGCTTAAGGGTAAGTACATTTTCAACAAGTATTCCGTTCCAAAGTCCATGCCCATTATGTGCCAGAATGACACATAAATATTGGAAATCTTTTGAGTTATGTTTATATGTAGTTCATATGACATGTTATATATTGCATATGACAGACAGACACAACATTTGCCATTGGGTCAATACTGTCTAGTACCTCATGGCTGTTACTATACTTCTGGCCTTGTACTGTATGTGCAGTATTTTCCAACACAAAGCATTAAACTCCCAGTAGAAGTCTATTGTTCATGAAATGTTCACTTTTGTGAGATACCTGTGCATAATTTTGAAATCAAGTCAACAGTGAGAGCACTGAAAGTGTTAACACACATTTAAGTTTCGCTCTCAAGCATTGCCCTCATTAGAAATATAATATTTCAGTTGTAGAGGATGTATATTTTATTTATGAAACAATTACTTTTTTTATGTGAATAATTTTCTGTATTTTCTTATTACAATCAAATACAGAAAATCCTGGTCTACACCACTTTATTTTGAAGATATCTGTAATCAGTGAGCCTTTACTTGGTATGTGGTTTATGATTGTATCAGATGCTTGTACGGAAAAAGGATTCAGTGCACAATGTTTGGGATGAGTCAGCGTTCAAAGGTGTTGAGCTGAATATATATAGAGCCTGTAGAAATGAGTGAGAATTTGATATCTGTGATGCACATCCCTAAATAAAATCTCATTTTGCCAAAGGTGCCAGTTTTAGTGTGCACTTGAATTATCTTGGGTAGTACCGCCAACCAGCCATATGACTAATGTAGCTTGTTATGACTACTGAATATTACATGAATGCATTAACGGAACATTATTTAATTGCAAAATCAGTCTCAATGAATATTTAGTTGCAAGTAGTGAAATTATTTCTTCTCATGGGTATGTAATTTCCATATACTATGTAAGGAATTTCTGTATTTCTTAGTATTTGGTGGACTTTGAAAATTACAATTATATTAAAAGCTGTTTTTGTTCTAACGTAATGACAATGGGTCTGTATAAGGAAACTTTATTGAAAAATTACAGTTGTACAGTACTTGTTTGGACAGGATTTTTGGAGTAAAATGTGAGTCGACAAGACTGACATTATATTTGTCTTCGCATTTTAAACGTCACAAAAAATACAAACTGTTCCTTTTGAGCTTGAGCTACAGATGAACACTAGGGGTCAGTAAAAGCCCTTTCATAATATAGCAAACATTAAATGAGATGCTCTTTTCTTACTGTTTAAAATAATAATAATAATTATGCCGTTTAAACTCTAATATTTGCTTTTAAAGCAAAATTATTGTTTTTTTAGTGTGTTCATGTGTTTACATACTACTGTATTACAGTTTTAGTAAATGATTCCTAGTCACTATGCATTATATTCTGTTATGAATATTCAGACTATAAAACCTGCAATACTGAATTGACTGTATATCTGTGCAATTACAAAACTTGTTGGCCGACAATGTCTGTCTGACAGAGACGTGCAGAGAAAGAAAGAGAGATCCAAGTCAACAAAAGCCACAAAGAACTATAAGTTCAGAGGTAGTGGAGTCTTATTCCAACAACAGAAGCCAATACAAATAAAACAGGGGGAAACAAACATAACGTTGTTCTTCCCTCCCATGTCCCCCGCTCACTGCCTCTGTTACAAGATAAAAGAACCTAAGTAAATTCCCAGAAGATGCAGCCTTTGATTGTGAGTTCGTACTGCACCAGTGTCAAAAGTGTGTGAGTGAGGGAGAAAGAAAGAGAATTTCCTACTGCGTGAGCAGAGATGAATAGTGAGCTGCTTTCGCCACATAGTCACAACCTGCAGCCTTGAACCCTTTCATCATGTTCTAACAGCTCAGATTTAGATCTTTGCGCTCTCAATACACACACAC